CATTTGTCCTCTCCTCTATTGATATGAAACCGGATGCCTCCATGTCCTCTCTTTTTCTCTTGAAGAAAGGCATCAGGTTTCATATCGATAGAGGACAGATGGCAGAGTGGCAGAAAACCGAAACGTCCTCTATGATGGCCACCCTATCCTATTTTAATGCACATTAGTGAAAGCGCACAGTTTTTTTGTGATGCTGTAATGAGCATTAAAATAGGCTAATGAACATTAAAGCACATGTGTAGATGCGCCCAGTCTTGTCCACCTTGTATCGAAGTCAGGATTTGAGTTAGATCAACACTGAATAGTTTTAAAAATCTTACTCTGTTTTTTTTCATGTAAAAATTATTTTTGTCCTTGGAGTCACCACAGGACATCTCACTGCTGAATAACTCAGGGCAAACAGAAATACAGGGAGGAATATACTGAGTACTTTTACAGTGCTCTTTAAAAAAGAAATAGATCTTTTCTACTTCCTTTGTCAACAAAGTATTTTCTGGGGTCCTTATCATCTAAAAGAAACTGTCTTCATATCAGCATGTATTGCACATTCATGCCTTTGAAAATTTATTCTAAATATATTGTTATATGACAATACAATTTTTTAAAATTCCTGAATGCCTCTAAACTGAGCACCTTCAAAAGTGTGAAGCAGTAAAAAGCAATTGTTCTTATGTTAATCTATTTAATCTAGTTTAGTGCCTGGTAATTTATAAACTGTAGTAATCTAAATTACATATTTTAAATGTGCAGTCAGTGTGCATTCGTCACACGTATAAAATAGTATTTGCCATCTAGAGGCACATCGGTGTTGCTGCACAACTACATTAGTAGATATTTCCCCATGGTAAAAAGGAATGTTAATTCTGTTGTGTTAACATACTTTAATGTGGGGAACATTTAACACTGTTACAGATATTGGGGCTTTTTTGCAAATTTGGTTTAAATTTGCAGTCACCCTACTGGGATTCCTTTCATATCCATCAGCATCCAAGTGTTAAAAATGTATAGCTTTCTTTAAATGTCATAATTTCACAGATTTTGCCTGAAGGAATACTTCCATAACCAGGACAGAACCACCTCTGACGACCTTCATGCCACAACTGATAAAAAAAAAAATCTGAGTGGACACCTTTCAGTGGACAGAAGTACATATTGGACTATTACATCGGCTGTTTCAAGAAGAAAGTTAACAGTGAAATTCTCAACAAAAGTCAGGACCGCCACAAACTCCCACTCAGAGGGAAAAGCCACTTAGCCTGTAAAGCCACTTAGCCTGGTCCAACCATGAACTAGTAATCAAACCAGTGGAAAAAGGAGCTATTGCTATCCTCGACTGTGAAAACTGCATCAATAAGGTTAACAGACAGCTCTCAGACACCAACTACTGTAAAGAACTTGGGGAGGATCCCACACCAGCATTTGCTCTGGAACTGGAAAATATTATCAAATCTTTTATAAACTAGCTTTACGAAAAACTACTTCCACTAATCACCCAGGAACATTTTATATGTTCCCAAAGATTCACTAAGGACAACCTGGAAGACCCATCATATTCAACACTGGCACCCTCACTGATAGCTATTAGGATTCATAGAAACAAGTCTAAAATGACTTGTCACTCAAAGAGCAAATTTTTTATGAGATGCAACAGACTCTTTCAAGAAGATCCAGGACATTAACCACTTCCCTGAGAAGGGCATGCTTGCAACCATGGATATCACCAGCTTATATGCTAACCCACATAATAAAGGCAGAGCTGCCTGCCTGAAGTTACCTACAGGAAACAAATTACACTCAGATTTGTAACCACAACATATACAAATCATCCATTTCATCCTCCCCCACAACAACTTCACTCTCAGTGACACTTCCTCCAAACCATGCCAACCTCCTCGCAAGCCACCTGGTAGAAGAGTTTTTAGAAAACTCTGTCACTAAACCTGCATTATACCTGCGCCACACAGATATTTTCAGCATTTGGACTGAACACCTAAACTGGCTTACTGACTTCCACTGTAAGTTTAACAACTACCACCCTTCAATCAAATTCTCTCTGGAATACTGCTACAATAATATCAACTTTCTAGACACCATGATCTATATCTGGGAGGGCACCCTGCAGACTGCTACATACAGAAAACCGATGGACCACCAACCACACTTAGAATTCACAAAATCACCCTAAAAACACCACAAAATTTACAATCGGGTACCTCAGATACCACTGCATGTGCTCGGAGGAGAACACTTGGGGGACACATCCTGCCAAACTGAAAACAGCCTTTACAAATAAGGACACTCCAGCAGAGAAATAGACCATGTCTTTCGAAGAGCCAGCCAGATAGCCTGCAGCAACCTACTATAATACACGAAAAAAACCCCACTGACCACAGCCCCTAGATTTTCACCATTCCAAATTTGAACCTGTAAGAAGAATCATCAAACAATTACAACCTATACCTGAAAAAGGACCAGACCTTGCAAAAAATATTCCCAGAACTCCTGCTTCTAGCCTTCTAACAGCTCCCTTCTAACCTTGCCCCTAGATCATCATCAGAAGTAAATTCCTGGCTGATCAACAGGTGCCTAATGGGACCCTGCCCTGCCTCAACAACAACTAACCTGTCAAACATCTTTGTCATAACAATGAACATTCCCCAACACAAAACATCAGAAACTACAGATCATACACACATTTATCTCAGAATGTGGTAAACCTCATTTAGTGCACCAAATGCCCTCATGGAAACAATGTGGGTGAAACCGGTCAAAAACTATGCACCAGAATGAATAACCACCAAAATAGATAACAGATATAGACATAAGGACACCAGTAAGAGAATATTTTTCACTGAAAAACTAGTCCTTGTTTGACCTCACAGTTCTAGTGCTCAAACGAAATCTCCCTAACAGGCCAAGCACGGGAACAGAAATTCATCAGCCTATTGGGCACTAAGCACCAGGGACTTAACGTAGACAATGACTTCATAGTCCATTATAATAATATTATATAATTCCTAATATTCACTAACCCCTGAACTTCACGGGTAATAATGACTTTGCTTAACAAGCTTTTGTTCCATCTGCTATTTAGCTCATCCGTGTCTGCTTCTGTCTCAGAGGCCTGAGGAAGGGTACTGTGATACCCAGAGGCTTGTCTATGTTTATACCATACAGTTGGTCCAATAAGTGATATAGCCCACAAGAATTGTTGCTTTCTTCAGAGACTCTCAATCAATTTACATTCTCTTAAAAGCAGCATATGAAAAGCAAAAACAAGACAACCCCAACAAAAGACACATTTTTTCTCTCTCTTATAATAGCATTGCACTAGCAGTACTACAGTTAAGGGTTCATTTTCAAACTTCTGCTTTAGAACAATCTCAGAATTTACCTTTTGCGTGGAAATGATTTCAGTTTATTCCTAACCAACATCATAAGATTAATAAAAATGGGATCATTGGCTGCATTTTGTGTGACATGCTTTTGTTGAAGAGAAGAAGTGAAAAATATTTTTAAACTAAGATTTTTTTTTTATGTGCTTCTTTTGTACTTATAGAAAATCACCAAAAAAACCCTTCACTATTGTCTCACATTTAGTCCTGAGTAATAAGGGCAGGCTGTTCATTTTCTATGTCTGAAAATTTGGCTTTGCAAGTGAAGCTAAGTATCTTTTTTAAAGCGTTTTGGACACGTGCAGTACATTCATTTAAGTAATTTCAGAATGATGCCTACAGCATTGCAATAACTCTCTAATATCATTTGCAGATATTTGATTTTTATAGCAAAAATTATCCTATTTGGCTTAGAACCAAAAGACCTGTGATAGAGATTCAGGAGGTGTTTGTAAGAGCAGGCATGTGAATTTATAGATTCAATAAAATATTATATTTAGGGCATGAAATATTTGATACCAGCCATTTTCTACAAGAATAATCTTCTACACACTTCAATTTGGAAGGGTTTGGGATATTTGAGAGTTAGTGAAATAATGTCAAATAATATTTTGGCTGATTTATAAATTCATCTTTTGCCAAATAAATAATCAGAGCTATTGATAGTTTAGTATTTCTACAGAAGGAAAGATTAGATGTTTCCTCAGGAGGCACTTAAAAACTTCAATTAAATAACAGCATGGTTATTTAAACAAGATCAGTATCTTTATTTCCTTACAAAAAATGTAGGTATTGTTTGTGAAACTGGGCACTCAAGTCCTCTAGACCTGAGGATGGAAATGCTCCTACGATGCTTCCTTCCCTCTCCAAACATCTATTATCTTTAAGCAGAGGGGACTACTTTCAGGGGGGAAAGGATAATTCATTTCCTTTTTAAATTTATTCTTTGGCTCATGCAGCCAACCAGAGTGGTGACAGTTGCCTCACGGCAATGCTGATTTTGTTATTGGGCAATTCCGCTAGGAATGGGGTTACACCACAAATTCATTTCACAAAGCCTTCTAGGCAGATGTCATGGATTGGTGACATCCAGTCACTGTTAGAGTGGGATTTGCATTGGTTGATCAGGGTGAAAGGCCATTTCCTCAGTTCCCTAGCTGTCCAGTCCTGAAAGTGAAGCCACGGAGAAAGCTGCACTTCAACATTTGAAAGAAATTATTTATTTCTCTAGTAACGGGGCAATATCACTTCCTTTGTGGATTTCAGTGGGGTCAGGAGCAGGCTGCTTACTTAGTTATAGACTCTATTTAATGGACAACAGTTTTCATCTTTAGATAAACAAAAGCTATAATGACATCTGCCAAACTAAGTTAAATAAAAGCTGCTTAAAATCTGTCACTCATCCAAGTCCTTTCAAGAGAGCTTTTTATGGTCTTAGCTGTTTTCGGGTGGTAAAACAAATCCATTTCTTGATTTCTGTGATTCAGGTTTGTTAAAATTTCTTAAATGAATGAACAGAATCAAAATAACAAGTGCTTTTCTTTTGCATTGAACCATGGAAACATTCCAATGCTATAAACACTTTGTCTGTTTTCATTTAATTAGGGTTTTCCAGGAGACATTGGTGTACCTGGACTAAATGGTCCTGAAGGTCCCAAGGTAAGAACTTGTAGAAACTTGTAACAGCATCAGCAATGCCCTGAGAGTGAGAAGATAAAGTTCCGGGGGACAAGGAAATTGGGAGAGACGTTCTGTTGTATGTTGGGAAATTTGCAAAGTACTGTGACCTGAGCATGACCTTATCCTTGCTGTCAGCTAAGTAAATCAAGAGAGGCTTTGTCTGTGCAGGCAGTCTGCATCAGCTTCTTTTAATTCAATGTAGTTAAATTAATGCAAACTGCTCCGTGGGCACTAAATTTGATTTAAGAATGCCAAATTGGCTTAAGCCTGCTACCAGTAGATTTATGCAAAACTGAAAAACCAAAACAAGTGTGTCCAGACAGGGCTTTACACCAGTTTATTTATATTGGTTTAAATTCAAACCTGGGGTCATAACATACAGCTTTTCTAGTTACACTGGTGTCTAGCTCTTCAGCCAGTGGCTTTTTCACAAATATGACCTTGTGTAATGTTTTAATGGAAATTATACCTGAACCTTTATTGTCATTTGTTATCTCTGTGTGTGATGTTCAGATAAGATAGAAATAAAAATAAAGATAGAAGAGTAGCATTGTACATTACATTAAGGTTTCAATAGACGATATAGAAATAAGAAATGATGACCTGGATAAAACAGAACCAACATGGGTCAAAATCACATTGGAGGAGGATTGTAAAAGAGGCTCTATTAGACTAGTGCCAGCAGCCAGTTTCTGACCCCGCTAAATTGGATTTAGGTATGGAGAGGTTTCTTTAATATGCCTCCCACTCCCCTTTTGTATTTACTCTTGAGACTGCTGCAAGTTTTTAGCACAGTTATTCCATAAACACACTTCTGAGCAGCACTTTGGCACCTATTTTTATGGGTAAACTACACTTATTTGGCACCTACAAACTGGGTGCATCTACACGTGCAGCTAATATGCCTAAATTTTCTGTGCAGAAAATTCAGGCTTATTAATGTGGTCCTAAATGCATGTCTACATGTGAGCCCCCATTAGAACAAATTCCACCTGATAGGACAACCCAATCCAGGGCCTCTCCTGCCAGGGCTAAAATGATGCTATTTTAGATTTTTTCAAGTAAGTAGCATTGAAGTGATGAAAGAACTGGTTAAAAAAAATGCCTTTGAATAAGTTGAGTTGACTCGGTATAAATTACGTGGAAATATACAAAATAGTTCTGTAACTGAGATTTTGTATTTCAAATGTGCAACTTCTGAGAAAATAAGATTAATAACCACTTCAAAAGGATTTAAGTATGAGCAGGATTACTTTACAGTGAGGTTCAGATTAAAGATCTAGTTCTAGCTCAAAATCTAAATAAATACTCCGTCTCAAATTTTCAAGAAAGATGATGACATTGAACATGGAAGCTAAAATGGGATAGCTAACAGGAATTTTAAATAGAATGCTTAATGCACTTAAGTCAAGTGAATGGGATAATCTTCATCTCAGATACTGAAAGAGCTGGCATATGAAGTCCAGTAATAAGGATTTTTGATAAATCTATCAACTTGGAGATAGTACTGTATAACTTGCAAACTAACAACACAGTGCCAATATGTAAGAGGAAAATATGATCCTAATAAATACATGCTTGTTAATACTATAATATACAGTGTATTAGAACAAATTTTGAGGGAAATAATGAGTTATGGAGATAAATGGAAAGGGGAATAAAATGCAAAGTGGGTTTACCAAAGATAGACAGCACAAAATAAACCTGGTGTTTTTCTTCACTAAGAAACCTGATATTTTAGACCAGTAGGTTTAATCTATCTCAAATTCAGTAATGGTGTCAAATTGAAAAAAAATAGATAAACTGGGAAAATAGGGATTAATACAATAATTATAGGATGGGTACAGAACTGGTTAAAATGGAAAAGATAAAAAAATTGTTTCAAAAGAGGCACTGCCTAAGTGGAGAAAGGTTACCAGTGGACTACCTCAGGAGTCTGCTTTGCGACAAATCTTATTTAATATTTCATTAATGACTTGGGCACAAAAAGGAGTACTCTAATTTAATTTTCAGGTGACAAAGTTAGGAGCCATTGCCAATATAGAGCAAGACTGGATATACACAAAGTAATGGATGACTTTGGGGACTGGAGTGATAGGAAGTAGCATGACATTTAATAGTATAAAGTGCAAAGTCATACAACTAAAGACTAAACAAACATGTCTACTATAAACTGGAAACTCGTAATTTGGAAGTGAGAAGAGAAAGACCTGGGTAGCATGAATCTGAGCCGCCACTGTTGATACAGCTGTAAAAAATGAAATACATTGCTATGGTATGTCAGGTGAGGTACTTCCAGGAGCAGTAAGTATTAATGCCATTATGCCTTGTACACAGTGGTATGATATCATCTGGAATATTAAACATGGATGACCAGAACGTTATACAATAACGATGAACAGGCACGGAGGGCTAGGCAGCAGGGTAGGATAGGCACAGGGGGAACAAGGGGCATGGAAGCAAGAGGCACAGGTCTGGCCCCTCACCATCCACCGTTGCTTTCTCCTCCATAGCAGTGGGGAGACATTCATTTAAGACCACCTTCCACTAATTAGATTCTATGAATGGAAAATTGTAATGCATTTATAATTTTCTATGCATAAAATCTAATTATGGGGTGGGGGATCTTAAATTTGAAGTTGTCTTGGATTTGGGTAAATATAATAAATGATAAGAATTATGTAGCAGCAAAGGACTGATGGCCAAGAGCTCCATTTCCATCCTGTTTCCTCTATTCCTATGTTTCAGCCATTTCCTCAGAGTTCATCTGCTTCAGTCTCATCTGTGCCTGAGTTGTACATAACATCCTATAAAGTATATATCTTAATTCAAAATATGAATCCTGCCACACTACACTTTTCCTTCTTAAAATATCTCACTCATATCTCCCTGTCACTCTAACAGCTAAAAACCTCCCACATATTTCTTGTCCATAAATAGCTTTGACCCTAAAATGAGCAAGACATTATGAGTTTCTAGGCATGCTGAAAATGTACATTTGAGAAAATATGGTGAAAAATTGAGGGTAGAAAGTTGGGTAGGAAGGAGCACCTTTATTGCTCTAATGTAGTTGATGGTTAAACAGTTTGTTCCTAATTGTGATTATTGACTGATGCTAGTCAGCTTTTATCTGTAATCTATACAAGAATATTGGTGGTTGGCTCCTCTGATGTTTCTGTGAAATTAATGAATTGTCAGGGCACATAAGAAGAACTCCTAATGGAAAACTGTGTATATGCATCACTAGAGATGACGGAATAGAAATGTTAGTTCCTGAAGTGTAGATTCAGTTTAAAATACTAATACTTAATCGTGTAGTTGAACACACATTCCTGTTCGCATTCTTTCACTAACTTAAACCACACATTATTCTACTGTAGATGTAAAATGCTCAAATAAATATGTTGCGTGAGAAGTAGACTTATGTTTCAGAATGACAAGACTTGTCTATCACCTTTCACCTAACTCCTAGTAAAAATGCCAAGAAGTAGCCCAGGGTATTTGTTTAAGGCTCCAGACTTTATTTGATACAAGATTTCAATAACTTTACAAGAGTCTGTGGTATCCAAGTATACTGGCTTCCAAAGACCTAAAGCGTAGACAGCCTAGTCTAATCAAGGAGAATTAGTGGCTTACATTTGAGATGGAATATTAGAACTGGAAAAACTTTTGCTCTGCTTATAACACCAAGAGAGCAGGGATTTAAGAAACTGGAAATGTTCACCATTGGGATTCCCAGCTGTCTTGCATTGACTACAGTTGTGAAGTATTTCCTCCACTTTTTTTTTAAAAACACTCTTTTCAACATACTGACCTTTCCTGATTCTTCCATGTTTTCCCAGAAGCCAAATCTATATTAGGTGCCAGAAAAGCAGGATGGGCTTTCTATTTCAGCAGCTAGCAGCAGATAAACTGACCCTTGTGCCAGAAAATATGAGATCTGCAAGCATGCCTTCTGCCTTCTCTGAATACCAGAACTTTTGGGCTGGCCTTTTAGTCCAAAATACTACAGTAGACAGAAAATATGAACTCCCAGAATAATGTGCAAAGGCCACATTATGTAGGTTGGTCCACAAGAGATTTGACTTGGAAATAATAAAAAATATAAAAATTGTTTGAACTTCCATGATTCATAAAATAAGACTTTTATGTAATGAAAGGAAAGGGGTGGTTTTAGCTTAGGAAATTTTGAAATACCTTTCTTTTTGTTCCTTGTGTTAGTCTTACAAATAATTCTGGGCTGCTTATTAGACTAGCCAAAGAAGAAATAAGGCAGACATGCTGACTACAGGAATATCAGAATGGTTTCTCTAGTAATACATGTTGTACTATGGAAATATGTGAGAGCTTCCATCATCTGCCCTTTGATGTTTTGTTTGGATAGAATACTTCATATATGTGGCTATTAAGAACTCTACTAATCCTGTAAGAGACTCAACTGGAAATTTATACACGCATGTGAAATATAGGGTGCCCCCCAATTTTCTGACTCCCTGAATTCTTTCCAGACATTTTGGCACATCCCTAAAGACAATTTCATTTTCTGTTCATTGCCTACAACCTCAGAGTGGGGATGGAGACTTCAGTTAATTATCTTAATATCAATTTTAAAGTCTGGGAGGCTTTTTACAATTTAAGTACATGCTTTCTAAGTATACATACAGTAGTTCAGAAAGTTGCTAAAATTTCCACCACAAGTGTAAATGATAATGAAAAGCATATTACAGTAGTTTACTTATTTCTATGGCAGAGTAAAATAATAGTTCCCTTTGCTAAGGGGATACTTTTCTTTACTAATTAAATAACCATATTATTTTTATAGTGTTACTACATGTATTTTTGTTGCTTTTGCCACTGTATTGGAGATGCTGTCTAGCTGCAGTTCTCCATCCTAGTTTCCCAGGCAAGCCTGTCAATGGGATCTTTTAGATGAAACTTGGTGGCTTATTGCCTTTTCTATGTAATGTTGTTTTGTGTGCCTGTTACTGGACAAATGCCTACACTGCTGTCTAGACTTCAGCTTAATTAGTAAGCAATTAATGAGGCTTATGCTAGAGCTTATCCCCCAGCTATTTCTTCAGTGGTTAATCATATATTTTCTAAGAGTAATTATTTTGTTCTGGTTGCTTTATCTGATAGCCTGGCATTCCCAGTATACTAATAGTAGGCTCACATAGATATTTTCTGTCATAAGGCAAGGTTAAGTGCTTTGACCAATTATTGCCATTGCAATTTAGATAACCAAGGTTTTTGACACACCATTAGTTCCTCGGTCTTAATAATGTGTTTTTATAAATATTTCTGCAAGAGCATGTGATAACTTAAGGTTGGCAAACCTCTGCCCAAGTTTGTAATCAGTGAATGCTGTTGCCATCTAACAGCTGTTCTGAAAAAGCTGATAGCCTTAAAGTCAATTGCTGCTACGCCCATACTATACCAGACATCTTTATTGGTATATGACCACTATAAACACTCTCTAATTGACTAAAATCTGGGCATATAGCTTGGTAATCACAGAAATGTTGTACGTGATACTACTGTACTACATAGCAACATAAGAGTTCGGTCTCTACAGTTCACCTTACCGGTACTGAAAATACAGTTATGCATTTTTGCCCAATCACTTGTTTATACAGTCAACATAGAAAGAACTGAAATAGTGCCTAGCATCTTACACTTAGCAAGGTTTTGGAACAAATGTAATCATGGCCAATGGTCTCCATGGTCATTGTTTAGATGCTTCTTCCTGCTGGATCAAACCATAAAAATCTAATGTTTGATAGTTATTCCCACAACACTTGTATTATGAAGCAATTATCCCATCAAATAATTAGAAAGGATTGCCTTCCTGATCAGTTTTGGTGACATCTGTAAGACTGTACTGGATTATATGAACAAGTTGTGCAAAAGGGGTGTGGGATTGAGATAAATAGTTTAATTAATATTACTATAAAAACACTTCCATTAAGGGAAATTTTATCATCAAATATTCTAAAGAGTACCTAAAACAGGTGCTTACATGTAGTGTCTCAGTTTGCCTTAAGGTAGCTCATCAGATACAAGCTAACTGCATGTAACAAAAATGAACTGATGTCTTGCAAGCTTCAGCCAAGTTAATCTTTTACCTTCAAAAGTTTCAAAATAGTTTGAATCTTAGACCTGTCAGCTAGAGTCCGTTAAGTACTGTAGTTTTCATGCTCTGGTTTCCTACAGGAAATGAACAATACCAGATAATGATGTCTGCTTCCTCAGCATTCGGCCTTGTATTCTGTCCAGAATTGTATAAGGAGAATGTGACTAATAGACTTTTTGACTGAAACAAAAACTTACTCTGATTGTTTTGTTATTCAGGGACTTCTAGGTGACCGAGGGCCTCCAGGACCACCTGGACCCAAAGGAGTTGAGGTAAGATGAATATGTTATCAAGTCAACAATTTACTGTTAATCTTGGAATTCGGTGTGTTTTCCTGTTACTAATAGCTGGTAACCCCCCCCCCCCCCCCAAAAAAAAAAAAGCCTTTTTTCCTATAAGAAAATGATGCATTGGTGAGTATACTGTTTTCATGTAGGATTTCAAGCCTCCATTTTATTTTGGTAGGTTTTGAATAGAGTTTTCAGTCATTTTTACAGTAATATAAATTCATCATAGAATTTATTTCAATGATCTGTGTGGAATATCTGAATAATCTGGGTCCAGAATCTTGCACGTGGAATTCAAAATTATATAATATAGTAATTTAAATTAATATTTACTAAGAATATTGGATAAAATCCTGGCTTCTGTAAGTCAATGGTGAATCTCCCATTGACTTCAGGGAAGTCAGGGTTGTATCATATATTTTTATAAATATTCATAATCCTTAAATATACATATGATGGATTCAAACATATCTTGTTGGTTTATGCTGTTTATGTTTTTTGTTTTAGAACTTTTTAAAGATACCACTAAATCAGTTTGTGTCTGTTGGTAGAGCTCCAGAACTTGTATCCAGTTTTATGATGAGTTTTCAAGAGAGTGTTTGAATGATTAAAAATAGTACCCCAAAATTATCATTCTAATTAAAAGGGCAGGTAACATGAAGTCTGTTGTTCTTTTCCGTTCCTTTACTTCAGACAGTATTATGACAATCAGGACTTAATGTCATTATCTAATGAAACAACCTCAAAAAGTTAGCATTTGCAATGCACTGTCATGTACTATTTAGAGGCTGTTTTTTTCCTCCTATATTCTCCTTTTCTCTGACTCCTGGAAGAATTTGCTTTCCTGTGTCTGATCCTTACCTACTTCCATCTGCTTGAAAAATCTCAGACGTATCTTGACAGAACTATTCTGTTTGCGTGGCACTCATTCTATAGTTTTCTAGAGACCGTGCAAAACAAATCAAAGTCCTTTCAGTATCCCAGATGACAGATCCTAAATCAATTCAGTAATTGACCTATGGATAGGTTGATCCATGACTGCTAAGTCTACCTCGGCAAAAGTGGTTAAAAACTTTCCCTAAGAAAGAACTTTGACCAGCTCTGATTGAGCAGATTGTGTCTGATGGCTTTGTAATATGTAGATTTCTGACTGTTTAGTAACTTGGAAAAGGTCAGTTTAGTCTCTTTCTCATTAAGCTTAAATACAGATCCTAATGATAAGATCTCTACCTACATCTGTATACTATGCAGGCTTAAGATTTTACAACTTTTACACATGCTCCAGTGGTTGGGGCGAGGGGGCTTTAATGAGAGTGGCTCCAAGAGGCACTTAAAATGGCAGAGGGGGTGCTTGAACTAAAGCTTGTTCTATGAACTTTAGTTCAAGCGCCCCTGCCACCATTTTTAAGCACGGGGATGTGGATACACAAGATGCAGGAGGCTGCTGGAGCGCGGTAATCGTCATGCTCCAGCAGAGTCAATTAATTACACTGGAATTCCAGTGCATCAGAGCCGCCTCCACACTCATGTATGGGCACCTTTGAAGCTTAACACAGTAGCAAAAAGTGATTATAAATTCTGATTTTTTTTAGGGAGAAGAAGGGCCAGTTGGACCTATTGGAGGAGCTGGACCAAGAGTAAGTATGTTTAACTTTAATAACTGAAATTAAAGTTAATTAATTGCCTTTAACAAAAACTCTCTTCAAAATGTACTCTAAAAAATGACTGTAAAAATTAGCAAGGGATCAGCAAGTCTCCTCTCAATGTTTATTATGAATGGAGCTGGGTAGGAAATAGCACAGTCCTTTTTTGAAATTACAGAAAGCTTCCTATTGTGTACTGGGGTAAAACTGTTCAGGAAAGATCAGAGAAAGAGAGGGTTGAGAGAGAGCCATATGCCAGAGTAGCCAATAGCATGTCTTCTCTCTGGCTGAAACATCTCCTATGATGTTTTGGGGTAATTCAGCCAGAGAGGAGACTGCATTGCATTATTGGGTAAGAGGTCTGGCCATCGAAGCATATGGTAGTGCAGAAGTTCAGGCAGACACAGATTAATGTCAAACTAACCCAAAAGGAAATGTTTTGGCTTTGTTCAACAAACTGACATTTTAATCTGGGTTAACCTGACCCAAAATGAAGTTGAAAAAAATGTTGACCTGTCTAATGTTTCACGCAACAAACATTTGTGGGTGAAGAATGCATGGGCGTGCTTCATGAACAGTGAAGTGGATCGTAGAATTAATCTCTTTAGGGTTTTTAAAGAGTTTTTTGGTTTACCTTCCTTGCCGACACCACAGGGCCATGAATCAAGGAGTGTGGCTTCAGTAGGGAAGTCAGGTTCCTCACTACATGCTTCTGCTCTTATCTTTTCTCCTTTGCTTCAGCTCCTGTGGCCTGCACATTGTAGCTCCTCCAACTGAGGTGATTTCAGAGCCCTACGTTAGCAATATTCTGAGCCTCTGAAATCTCTAGCCTTGATACCCACACTTCCACCACTGTTTGTCCTTGCTGCTATGCTCCTACTCATAACATGGGTTTGGAGAGATCGAACTGGGTTAGGGTTAGAGGGACGGTGGGCCCCAACCAAATGAGCCAGCACAGATACAGAACCAAATCAACAAAGTGCTGTATACATCTTGCTAAGAAGAAGTGAAAATGTATTGCATGAAGGCAATTCAAAAGTCCAGGAAGCAAAATATCGGGCAACTTAGCTTTATATTAAATAAATTCAATCTTCATGAAAGGTGAAATATTAGTTGCTGACAAATATGTTTTGTTCCAATTCCAGTTTAACATATTCAGGTGCATTATTTGCCATGCTAGCCAGCTTGGTTACAACCTGGAAATCTAGGCTTAGTTTTTGGTATGGCTCAATACACCTGAATATGTTAAACACTAAGCCTGGATTTCCAGGTTGTAACCAAACTGGCTAGCATGGCAAATAAAAAAAAATCTTAATCCTGTAGCTGTGCTACATAAATCTTAATTTTCCACATCCCATAATTATTTTATCACATGACACCAATAATCCTATAATGATGGGTTCTGCAGCCATTACTCACGCTGATTATTCATGCCGGTTGCCTTATTTATATTAATAAACAACACTGTAACAATAGTAAGATTAACGGCAGGCCCTACAAGGAGAGGCTAAGGAGAGACTGAGGGACCCGAACCTGGTTCAGCCTCCAAAAGAGAAGGCTGAGAGGGAATCTAGTGGCAGTCTACAAACTAGTCAAGGGGGACCAGCAGGCATTGGGAGAGTCCCTGTTCCCCCGAGCACTCCCGGGAGTTACAAGAAACAACAGACACAAGCTAGAGGAGGGTAGTTTCAGGCTAGACATTAGGAGGCGCTATTTTACTGTCAGGGTGGCTAGGACCTGGAACCAACTTCCAAAAGAAGTGGTGCTGGCTCCTACCCTGGGGGTCTTTAAAAAAAGGCTGGATGAACATCTGGCCAGGGTCGTTTGACCCCAGTACTTTTTCCTGCCATGGCAGGGGATCGGACTAAATGATCTCAGGTCCCTTCTGACTCTACCAACTATGAAAAAGCTACTGCACAGTTTTCATAGAAATAAATAGTAAATATTTAGCGATATATGAGAATATCTTAGATGGTAACTTTTTCCTTCTGGGAATCCCAAGTAAAGCGATGCTGACTAGGAGCAGTAACCCTTGAAGTGAGATTGAATTATAATTTAAGTATTTCTGTCTTTAATTGGTTCCTCAAATGACACATCTGATGCTCACATGTGGCCCCTTCCCCACCTGCATACTCCTGTTAGGATGTCAGAGTGCTTGCTAATCATAAGCTAGAACTTCAGACTCAGTGAGCAGAAGTTGCCTATTAAGGATATTTAAATATGTTGGCTGCAGTGACTACCTCTTCCATGACAGGACTATCACACTAATGTTATGTTGTTTATTTAATCCATGTAAATAAAAAGAGTTACTTTGCCACATGTGTTTGGAAGTGATCATATTTGCTGGAACTTGTGGAACAAAATGGAATATTCTTAGGTTGATATTTGCTGCCAGTAAAAAAAAGAAGATTTAATGTGTGTGTGGTTATGGAACGTATTAAAGCTATATAGCTTTAAAACATATTCAGAATTTTTAGGCACATGGAAAAACATGCAGACATTGGCACTGAAACAAAGAAGCAGACAGAAAAAGTCAAAGTAATAAATACCAAAGCCCAAGCTTTCCCAGCTCTGAAAAGTCAGGAGACAGTTTGATGCCCATTGCTTTGACTCCATTTTACCCTGAAAATAAAGTTCTCAGGACAAACTATTAATCCCAGAGCCACAGTTACTCAGTCTCTTGGAGCAATTGTGACTTAAAAATTAAAATTCTGGCTTAGCAGAATGTAACTGTATAATACTGGAGTTTTCCTTTAAAGGTATTTCCTCTTTCATGAGAGGTATCAGTTGTTGCTACATATACACCAAATCCTGGAAATGAGGCAACATAACTGCATTAGAGCAGTCCTGAACATATTCCAATAAACATACCATTCACAGAAAGATTGGGACAGACTTATTTGTCTTGAATGATAGAAACTATATGGTCACAATAGATTTTTACTCCAATTTTTGAGAGGTGGGCTATAAAGGACACTCAAACAAGAACACTGATCAGGGAGCTGATGGTACACTTTGCCAGGTATGGCATACTCCATATCTTGTGTTCAGACAGTAGGCCAGATCAACTGTTAAGAGAGGCAAAAGGCTCGTAGAAAGGGAAAAAATGGATATGATCCATATCTGGCTTTGCTGGACCATCGTAATACCCCTTCTCAGGGGCTTGATATTAGCCCAGCCCAGACATTAGTGGAGCAAAGAACCAGGACAGCCTATTGCAACCAGATGGAGGGAAAACAGACAACAACACATGGAGGTTGCTAATAGAACAGCAAGACAGACAAGCAGCCTATTACAGTAGAGGAACAAGAAACCTGAAGCTTCTCTACACAGAGGAGACAGTCTGGGTTCAGTCATCTAGCAGCCACATAAATCAATGGCATAAGGCCATCATCTAAGCTGTCATTGGGCCAAGGTGTTTACCACTGAAGACTGGTGGTTGAGAAGAAACTGTAGACAGTTGCAGAGCAACAATATCAGGGAACCAGGATGCAGGGACAGAAGAGACCAGTATCCAGGTGACTCTGATTGGGCCGCAACCATCAGTTGGCCAGAAGCCAAAGAGTCCGATGTAGTAAGGAATATGGGTGGTCACCAGGAAGACAATCAGTCACCAATAGGAAGACCACAGTCTATCTAACAAATCTATCACCTTACACTAAGATCCCTTAGTGAAGTTTAAGTCTGAATCAACCATATAAAAGTTCAGGACAGTTAGATCAGTCTAAAATTGCTGACCTGATCGAAGTTAACTTGGAGGTAGTCTAATTTAAACTGAGTCTGATGAGACCAATTTAACTGAACTTCTGTACAGTTCCCAGCATAGTCCCCCAGCCCCTCCCCAGACCACTAGACAACCCCTCCAGCCAACCCTGCCCTCCAAGCCCACCAAACCCTCCATCCCACAAGCTGCTCCCAGTGCCAGTTTTGCAAGTAATTTGGGGCTAGGGGGGTGCAGGTGGGATGGTGGGGATTAGTTCACTGGGTGGCTTAAAATAGCCCCACAACCCCACCCCCCATGCCCCTATACACCCTGTTAGCCCACCACCCCCCAATCCCTCTAGATAGAGTAGCAATTTTTAATGTGATCTAGCCACCTCCTGTCCTCCCAAAATGTCTATGTACCCTATATGGCCCTGCAGTTTAATAAATTATAGACATAGGCCCTTTCTCACTAACAGTATGATACTATTAACTGGTTATCCTAGCAACAAAATGTGAAAAATCTTCAGGAGAAGAAACTCAAAGAGTTGAAATTCATTCAAGAGCTGAAAGGACCACAAGAACTAAAATTTACAGCAAACTTCAAAAGCAAAAAAGAAGGAATTTGAGGTAATTCTGTGTCATTGAGGAATGAGGGTTGGAACACCATCATGAAAGATTTCTGTCCCGATGCTCTGTGGGGTGTGGCTGCCCTACCTCACAGGAGTTAACCTAACAAAATTTGGCCTTTGATTTTTTTTTTCCTTTGTTGATAACTGGTTTTGGTCAGCTGAAATGTACATGTATTGGATTCTTGTATTTGCTAATTTTCTCGTGTAGAACATTTAGCTACTGTAAAAGCTGCTTCAGGGTTCTGTTGGTTGTATTATGCTACCTTTTAAAATCAACAGCATATTTTCTGATTATAGACTAGATAATACATTAACCATAATATGCTGTCAACTATCATTAAATGCATTTAAGAGTTCAATAAGCTTACATTTTGTATAGAAAAACCTTTGTAAACAGAGAAATAAGGATTTTTTAATATATTCTGTAAAAACCCAATATTTTATATTTTTTATTTTAATTATTCTTCTAGGGAAGGTCAGGTCAGAAAGGATATGCGGGGGAAGCAGGACCAGAAGGCTTGAAGGTAATTCTGCTGGGTTTGTATACATTAAACAGAATGAAATTGAAGTGAAAGTGTGTGCCTGATGGTATAAAGGGAGATATAGGCAGTGAACATGCCTACTTGCAGGATTCTCCCTTGGGGAGGGCACTCTCTCTGCAAGGTTAAGGAACACAGAATAGGGAACAAAGAAAGATATCACCTGTTGTGCCACTTACCCTTCCCTGTGCCCCTCCATATGGCCATGAAAAGCAAATAGGTGAAAATCTGAGGAAGCTAACAAGTTAGTTTGAATGTTGTTGATATAGGGATGGAGATGTGGGGCAGGAGAAAAAGGGAGAGAGGAATAAGTCCATCATTGCACTTTAAGGTGCAACCTAACTCTCTTGGTGTGATGCCCAGCTTCTGGGATATGATGCTTCCAGGTACAAGGAAGCAGTGCTTAGCTGCCCTCCCAGCAAAGGCTCCACAAATCGTAGTTTGGCAGGTTCTCAGAACTGATATTGCAACCTTTGTAGTGTTATCCAGATAATAAGTAATATGATATAGGGCCAAAATCTGATGTAAGATGCATTGGTGAAATCCTGAATGATTCCATGAGTAACTCTAGAGCAGGGGTGGGCAAAATATGGTCTATGGGCCGGATTTGGCCCATGAGGCCATTCTATCTGGACCGCAGGGCCCCCCAAAATTTAGAAAATTAATATTTTTCTGTCTTTGGTTCCTGTCAAAAATGACGGGAGCCAGGGGCAGTAGGACCCAGGGGAAGCCTGGGGGGTTCCTGCAACAGCAGGGCCTGCCCAGCCCTGCCCCCCCACAGCCAGAAGCCTGGGACCACGTGGCTGCCCCAGCATGGGAAGCTCAGGTAAGGAGGGGTGGACCCTGGGAAAGGAAGGAGCCCAGGGAAAAGCAGCCCCCCCCCCC